TATTAAAAAGGGCATTTAAATTCCTGGTGAAGAGATCGTTTACTCAATGACTCTCTAGATACTTGGGGAAAACAAATATTGGTATCTACTTTTATATCAAAATAAATTCTTGCTCGACACAAAATTTTTATTTGATAGGCAAAGAGACAGACATGAGATGATCACTCCTAATGTGTTCAGGGAATAATATGCAAATTAATTAGGCTGTGTGTTGGGTTCAGGTTGGCACAGCAGACAGGGGACCATTTCGAAAGAATCTTGAATGCTGGGCGTGAGAGCTGAGACTTGGCAGGGTGTGGCAGTGGGGAGGTTCACATGGAATCGTCCTGGGTAGAGCTGCCATCTAGGAGGATGCTCCTTCTTTTCACATGCTAGCCTGGTGTATTACACTCTTTTCTGTTTTTTGGTTTGTTTTTGTATTTTGAGATGGAGTTTCACTCTGTTGCCCAGACTGGAGTGCAATGGCGTGATCTCGGCTCACTGCAACCTCCGCCTCCCTGGTTCAAACAATTCTCCTGCCTCAGCCTTCCAAGTAGCTGGGATTACAGGCATCCGCCGCCACCACAGCTGGCTAATTTTTGCATTTTTAGTAGACATGGGGTTTCTCCATGTTGGCCAGGCTGGTCTCGAACTCCTGACCTCAGGTGATCCACCCCCCCTCAGTCTCCCAATATGTTGGGATTACAGGCATGAGCCATTGTGCCCCGCGTATTACATTCTTTTTTCTTTTTTTTTTTTTTTTGAGACGGAGTTTCACTCTTGTTACCCAGGCTGGAGTGCAATGGCGCGATCTCGGCTCACCGCAACCTCCGCCTCCTGGGTTCAGGCAATTCTCCTGCCTCAGCCTCCTGATTAGCTGGGACTACAGGCACGCGCCACCATGCCCAGCTAATTTTTTGTATTTTTTGTAGAGACAGGGTTTCACCATGTTGACCAGGATGGTCTCGATCTCTTGACCTCGTGATCCACCTTCCTCAGCCTCCCAAAGTGCTGGGATTACAGGTGTGAGCCACCACACCCGGCCGTATTACATTCTTAAATGGCATTATGAAGCTCCTAAGCACACTGCGATTTTAGAGTCCTTTAGCTCTTCTGGGAGAGCCTTTCATTTGTCTGTGTGACATATCAAGTGGATGAAAACCTGCCTAACGGAATGCTATAAAAATAAAATGCTTGTTGGTGTCATCTGTAGTTTTCTAAAGATCAGACATGGTGCTTGAGTTCTTCTCAGTAGTATACCAGTTCCTGAAGAAGTTTCTCCTTTTATTCATCTCTACATTTGCCCTGCTTGTTACAATGCCTGGCACATTCAACAAACATTTATGCTGCATCATGGCTGGCTAGGCTGACTCAGGGATACTGACTCTGTTATTCTGGGTGAGGCCTTGAAATTTGCATTTCTGGAGGGTTTCAGATGCTGCTGATACACCTGGTCGGGAGGCCGAACTCAGAGCCACAGGCCTAGGCAGGCATCACCCTGTGGGCCACAGTAGCCTTCTGCCTGGTCCCCCCTTTCCACATTCATCTTCCCACACCCCATTGTCCATGTACTTGACAGGGAGATTTACAAAAAAGCAAATTGGATCATACAAACCTCTTTTCCCTTACGTTTCCTTGCTTCAAACTCTCCCGTACCCTCCAATGCAGTTAGAGTAAGATCCAAAGCCCGTAACTCACCTACAAAAGTCCTCTGTGATCCGGCCCCCACCAGCCACTGCTCGCCCGCCCCACTGGCCTGCCTTCCAGGCTGTGCCTGCCGCAGGCTTTCCCCTGGCTTCCACCTTGCCCGCTTTGCCTGTGATGTCCTTCCCCTGCCATTCCCATGGCTGACTTCTTCTTATCACCCAGGGCTCACCTCAAATGCTGCCTCTGAGCCTCCCCACCCCTAGAAGTGACTCTGTCTCACGAGCTGAATTTTATTACCTTTATAGCATTTCCCTCTTTTTGGCATGTGCTTGCTTGTTTACCTGTACCTCTCTCACACAACTTAAACTGTATAAAAACAGAGACAGGCCGGGCGCGGTGGCTCACGCCTGTAATCCCAGCACTTTGGGAGGCTGAGGTGGGTGGATCATGAGGTCAAGAGATCAAGGCCATCCTGGTCAACATGGTGAAACCCCATCTCTACTAAAATACAAAAATTAGCTGGGCACGGTGGCTCATGCCTGTAATCCCAGCACTTTGGGAGGCTGAGGTGGGTGGATCACAAGGTCAAGAGATCGAGACCATCCTGGTCAACATGGTGAAACCCCGTCTCTACTAAAATACAAAAATTAGCTGGGCGTGGTGGCACGCACCTGTAATCCCAGCTACTTAGGAGGCTGAGGCAGGAGAAATGCTTGAATCCAGGAGGCGGAGGTTGCAGTGAGCCGAGATTGAGCAAGACCCTGTCTCAAAAAAAAAAAAAAAAAACATAACACAGAGACGCAGTCTCTCTGTGACGGGCCACTGTGTCTGCAGCACCTGCCAGGAGGCCTGGAGTGTTGCAGCCTTAAAAAAATACTAGTGGAATGAACAAACCAATACACTATTTTAAGAAAAAAAATATCCGGGGAAAAGAGACAAGTGAACATGTATGTATTTTGAGGGGGATCAACCTTCCCAGGCTGCCTGGAACTGAGAGGCTGTGAGAATTTCAGTGCTGAAACCGGAGCGTCCTGGGCAATATAGACGAGGTAGGCATCCTGGCTCCCGCCGTGGGTACTGGAGACCTTCCAGCACTCTTGTGCCGAGTATTCATTCCTTGTTCTCTTTGTCATATCCTAGCACTGCCTTATTTACAGGTATTGATCGACTTACGACCTATGCAACTTACGACCATTCGACTTTACGACCACAATTGCTAGCCACGACTGCTCCGCGTCTGGCAGCGCAAACGTTGCCCAGCTGGGCGTACGACAGTGCGGACCAGCTTCCGGCAGCACTACCATCTCCGCGTGCACCATTTCAACTGTACATATAGCCTACTCAACTTATGACCAAATCGTGTTACGACCGGTCTGTGGTCCCCACAGTGGTCGTAAGTCAAGCACTAGCTGTAGTTCCTTTAGCTTCTTTAACTTTGAAGACAATGAAGCATTCTATAGCCAGGAAGCACCTTCACAAGTCATCCTGATATTGCTTTCAGGTACGACCAAGGATTCATTCTAGATTTCTTTAGTTATCTCCTCCTATTTGATATTGTTCTTTAAAAAAAAAAAAAAAGCTTAGGTTGAAATTTAAACCCCTGTGCTCTAGCTTGAGGACATTTCAGGTTAGATTTTTCACAAGGTAAGATCAAAATAAGCAACATGATTCTAAGGAAGAGAAAAATCCAGTGGGTGTTGAATGTCAGAAAAAGATCTGGGGAGCAAAGTGGACCAGTAGGCCAGTTTAGTAGGCCCCACCCAATCCAAAACACAATGAGTGAATAAATTGTGTAGCGATACTCATAACTATGATGGGGGAAGGTAACATGTTCCCATTCTGGTAATGGTACCTCTGCTGGCCCGTAAGTGATAATTGATTTTGACAAGATGCTCTTTCCTGTCCTCCTGTTCCAAGGGCCGTCACTCCCCCGTCAACTGCCAGCACTGCCGCCACTGAGTTCCTATCTTTTTCTTTTTAGACTGTAAGCTGAGGATAGGATTATGGGCTTAGTCCAGGGCCTGACAAAAAGGAGACTTTGGATTGGTAAATAACTAACTAGATAAGTAAATAACAAGGTACATGCCATAAAACACAATAGCAGTTCTAAGTTTGTCCCTGCACTTTATTAAAGATGGATAGTGCGCTTTATTCAGTTAAAAAAGTGCAGAGCCATTTTTCTATGATAATCCTAATAGTTAAAATATAGCTTGACACTTCCTATGAACCAAATGTAGTGTCAGGTCCTTACGCACATGAACTCATTTCAAACAGGTGCATTATGACTCTGTTTTACAGGTGAGAAGAGAGCATAGCAAGGATAAGCACCACATCCAAAGTCATCTCGCAGGGACTGCAGCCTCTGTCAGCCAGATTCCATAGCTAGATCCCAGGTTTGTATGTAAAATAGTGTAAGTGAGACAAATGACCTGGGGTCTTCTCTTCCAGAAATCTTGAATTAACAATATCTTCGGCTGGGCATGGTGGCTCACGCCTGTAATCCCAGCACTTTGAGAGGCTGTAGTGGGTGGATCATCTGAGTTCAAGGCCAGCCTGGCCAACATGGTGAAACCCTGTCTCTACTAAAAAGACAAAAATTGGTGCACACCTGTAGCCCCAGCTACTTAGGACACTGAGGCAGGAGAGATGTATGAACCCCAGAGGCAGAGGTTGCAGTGAGCCGAGATCATGCCACTGCACTTCAGCCTGGGCAACAGAGTTAGACTCTGTCTCAGAAAAAATAAATAAATGAATAAATAAAATATACATATATATATACATTTATATATATTTTTTCTGTGCTTTAGTTCAAAGCAGTTCTTGCAGTGTTCAAATGCTCTGTGTTAGTGTCAAGAGGAAATTCCTCACATTTTGAATAATTTTATCATTTTTGAAATAAATACAGTTATCACTCTGTTTTGATGTAAACAAGGCACTCAGGTCCCATTAGATAGTACACTGCATTTTGCATGAGATGTCCATCATGTGCCTAATCTCCACTTCGGCTTGTGGAATCATTAAAACATTACATATGTATATATAACATGTATATATAATGTTTTAATGATTCCACAAACCAACTATGTATGTACACACACACACACACACACGCACACGCACACATATATTTATATATATTTTTTGCAAGGATGAGTTAAGGGAAGTGCTTTTAAATGATCATTCTCAATAAACCAAGGCATTTTTAAAATAATTCAATCAACTTCAGAGAGGTCTAGCATAGCAAATATAAAACTGACAATTAATGCCCATTGTTCAAATATCCTGAAATGATCAGAGGACCCCAAGAGAGAGATATTTGAAGTGGCCACATTTGGTATCAGGTGTTTGAATAAAGGGTATTATTTGTCTTGGGATTTATTTGGGGTCACCTACGCAATAAAGAGGTTTAAACTTTATGCCTGAGCTATTATTACGGGGCCAGCCCCAGACACCTTCATCAAACTCTGGCTCCGTTACCATCACTAACAATCGTTCTCTCACTGGGTGTTATCAATGAGATTATCACTGTTGTCAGAACCTGTTAGCGGAAAATTACTGACTCAGCATTTGAAGTTTAACAGCTGTAGGGTTTGTGTCACGCGGTAAGAGTCTTCTTGATACAATGCATGTGTCCTGTGTGTGAAGGGGGTTGAAAGTACTGTTAAGTGTATGTATGTGAAATTATGTACATACACACTTTTTTATGGATTTCTAAGGAATTGTTTGCCATATTTGGAGGTACAGATCACTTTATCAATGGAAATTATGTGAATTGCTCCCATCCTCTTTTAAAAACGTGCAATGTAAAGGAAGGAACTAGATAATTTAAAGTCCAGAAGTCATAAATAACATTACTGCATTAAAATGTCTTACTTTTCTGTCCATGAATATATGACATATACAAATTATATAAATATGGGGACTAATGATTGGAGATTTAAAACTGAAAAATTATAAAATCTGAGAGTACTCTTGAAGAAAACAATGTATAGTTTTATCTTTTTTCAGTTACTCCTTTTTTGACATTTCACCATTTTTAGTACTCTAACATAATATGGAAATCCTGAATGTATTTATTACATATCAGTTTAGTGTATGAAATATAATTGAAATGATATAGTCTCTTATTGTATGGACCATTAAAAAATTTGCTTAAAATCTTATGGTTCATGTATTCCTGTTATGAAAAACTCTCTTTCTGGCTAAGATTATTTTAATGGCTCTCACTTTAAACTAAATCTTCACCATCTGTTCTTCCTTTTATCCTAAATACTAGAAGAAATTAATTTAAATGCATCATAAAAGAGCTATTTTATGTTTTTAAAATTCCTGTGTCTTGACTCTCAATCTAAATGTACGCTGGCGATCTCCAAAAACATCTGGCGTAAAACAGCTGCCCTTTGACATCTGACTTGGAATATGTCCCAGGGAAGATGAAAAACCGTTCTAACATGGATGTACTTACAGACACAAATATATGTCCCCTCTTCCCTTGCCCTGACTACAGTGTACCATTGCTACTCAGCTAATAAAGGACCAGTAGTTCTAATACAGTGCTGTCGTGGGTTTATAAGTAAACTGAGTTTTTATACTCACGTAAAGTTTTCTTTTCCTCAGTATTTTATAAAATATTAGCACTTAAACATTCTATTGATTGATTGCATTTTCTCTTTAGCCAAACCTCAGGAAACACCGTTTCTCAAGTGTAGGGAATAGTGTTGACGGAGGCTGGTTTCGGTCACGTTCACAGCAATATTTCAAATGCCTGAGAAGTCACAAGAAAAGGGACCCAGGAACCCTTGCAGCCTCACATCTTAGTACTTGGCAGCATTAGGAAGCAGTCAGCAGTGGCTCATTGTGAAACTGAAAGATGTTTTCGAGGAGGGGACAGCTAGAACTCAGCCAGTGCCGTAATTCCTGCCAAGTGTACTTTCTGTTGCTTTTTTCTTCCTTTCTGTGCATGTAATCACAACCTAAGATAGGCTGCAAATGACATAAAATATGATGTCATTACCCTTGCACAAATGACACTGTGGCAGATTTGGCTCTCCATGACAGGTTTGGGAAGATTAGCAGTCTGTTCTTGATGCTGTGGTGATGCCGACAATTCCAGTGTCGGTGTTGGGACGCATCAAGGGGCACGGTGTTCTCTGTCCCAGTGAGGACGCCTCACACCCCTCGCCACACCGGGAGCTGCTCCCTCGGAGGACTTACTATATGGCACTCACAGTGCCTGCGCCCTCTTTACTTCAACAGCTCCAGTGGTAGGATGGCATTTCTTTGGGGCTGGCTTCTGGGAGGCAGGACTTTGCTTCCATTGTTTCCTATGGAATTCCAAAGATCTCAGTGACATTCACAGAAGTGAATCGCTGTGACTGCGGGTGTACTTGTGCCACCACCTAGTCTTACACGTTTGCATTTCTCTCTACGATCTCCCTGGAAATAGGGTGGCCTGAGAAAAAGTAGTGCTGCTAACAGCAGGAGGGCGAATGCCAATCACGATGGTAGGAGTTTGGAAGAGAAGAGATAAGGCAGGGGAATGATGTTCATTGCAGATCATTGAATCATTGGAAGAAAAAGAATGGCTTGATATGACATACGTAGAAGGAAAGGACTTCAGTTTTTAAAAGATGTTGTAAGTCTCTAACCAATATTTAAAAATGAACAACAGGGAAACTGACAATGTATTCAACAAGTATAACAAACACCAGGATCAAAGAAAACATCTTTCAGTAAATACAGAAAGGGCAGTGAAGAACAGAAAGAGCTGGAGAAAGAGGGCAGAAGTGGTGTCGAACAGTAAAAAGATACAAAGTGGTGAGGAAAGGACAGGAGTCATTGGCGAGGAAAGAGCCTGGGAGGCCATTCTAAGCCAGTGTTGGTTGATTTTTTTTTTTTTTTTTTAGTATTATAACCAGTTGTTCAGCTGGGTGTGGGCTTCTCACTGTCATCACTTCTTAACTAGAACTTTTTGCCTTTTGTAGGTAAAGCTGCCTTGCAGATGCCAACCTGCTTCAAAACCTAAACATTTTTAGAATAGGCATTAAAAATTCAAATGTCCAGTTCGTATTGGTCCCTATGGCTTCCATAGAGGCCGTTCCGCTCTTGGATCTTCAATAAAGAGATTCACATAGTATTCCTGCTTTTTTTTTTTTTTTTTTTCCCCAACTGTGCTCTGGAGTTTCCAGAATAATTGCCTATGAGGTCCCTTTGTAAAAACTGCCTATAGAAAAGAGTGGTATGCTGAATCACACTGATGCTGTTAAATCCCAGAAGCTAGAGACAGGCTATCCTCCACATTTTATTTCCCTGGACCCCATCTTAGGGAAGAACGCACTGCTTCTCCTCAAACTTCGCAGTCTTCTGCTTCCAATTCCTGGGTTTCTAGCACTACCGTCACGGTCATCTTGTGAAACAAGCAACCAAAGGTTGCAACCTCATTCTTCTTTTGTGCCTTTGGGAAATTACTTCAAATAGCTCTGCCTTAATTTTCTTTCTATAAAATGAGAATAATAAAATCAGCTTCAAATGTCTTCAGAGGCCAGGTAGGAAATGTAAATGTAAAATAGTTAAAACAAAAACAAGTCCAACTGCTAGATACATAATCAGCTTTTAGTGTCACTGAACTGTGGTTTAAACACAAGTACATGCACTAAACATACAGCAGAAATAATAAAAAGGATGATGTTTGTTGTTCTCTACTTAAGAACTGGAAATCTGACATTTTACTGTTATACCAAGGTCTCAGAGTCAGGCCCTTCGATCTGTGCTGTGACGTAAGTACATTCAGCTCCGACTTCTTTACCTAGGAGAGAGATTTAGATGAATTCATTTTCATGTTAGAAAAGCAACTGTTCGCAGAGGCAGACAGTTAAGCACGTAGGTACAATCTTTGTGTACTGACGTTTATTGGCTTGAGATAGTTGAAAAATTCTGGTATTTCAACATTATCATGTTTGTATGTTAGTGTTTCACTGAAGTTTGACAATGTCCATTTCTACTTTTTGATTCACAGTTTCAATATTATTTCAGAAAGGAAAAACTAACTTATTGGTTCAATAATTCTAGTTATGAACTTGTTAAATTCACAGTGATAGGGGTATAAGAATTAATATGTAGCAGCTTTATTTCTTGTTGTTTTAGCCTTAAGACTGGAAAGTTTTCAGTTCTGCCTGGTAATAGCTTTTTGGCAAACTGTGTCTCCCTCTAGTGATACAAATCATTACTCTCTTAAAACTACGGTAAAGGTTGGATCCACTGAAAGAAATGTGTACTGCAGTCCGCACAAAAGCATATTATTAAAAAAATAAAGTTAACACATTGATACCTGGAGTTTACTTGACTGCTTTGGTGAGGGATTTGAAGACTTCCTTTTTCATATGGTTTTCAGGTAGGCATTTATTCTATATGATTATGTTCACTTTAGGCAGGTTTTTATAAATCACAGCTCTCCTAATATGTCGTTTTAGGAATAAACAGGTAATTTACATATTAATTGCTGTAGTGAAAATTGGGAAATCCTGCAGCTCCCTAGACTTCAAAGGATAGAAACAAAAGCTCAATTTACCCCTGGATCATTAGGGTGTATTGTAATTACAGAGGTAAATCCCATTTATTCCTTTATTCATTCCACATCCCTTAAACCTCTTCTGAGCATCCACTCACTACAAGCTGGGTGCTGAAGAGATTTAGATGAATAAGCCACAGTCATTGTTTGCAATGCGTAGTCACAACAAAATTGTCTCAAGAAGCATTTCAAAAATCTTCATATATTACTTTAGCATTCAGTTATCAAAAGTCTACAGTGTTTATTTTGGGGACCTGGGACATCTTCCCTAGCTCAGGCGAGGCAAGCTCCAAAGTAAAGTACATTTGCACAGAGGAGAACTGCCAGCGCCGGAGAGAGCCCCTCCCTGCAGAGGTGCAGGCTCAGTGTACTTCTAAATCAATCAGGTTGCAGACAGACTGGGTCTGCTGGCTTCAAAATGAAAGAAGGCTTTCTGTTTGTTTTGAGATCAAGCCTTGCCCTGTCGCCCAGGCTGGAGTGCATGACGTGATCTTGGGTCACTGTAACCTCCACCTCCCAGGCTCAAGAGCCCCTCCAACCTCAGCCTGCCGAGTAGCTAGGACAACGGGCATGGCGCCACCCCAACCACCTAATTTTCATATTTTTTGTAGAGGCAAAGTTTTACCATGTTGCCTGGGCTGGTCTTGAACTCCTGGCCTCAAGCCCTCTATCCGCCTCAGCCTTCCAAAGTGCTGGGATTACAGGCGTGAGCCACCACTCCCGGCCAAGAAGGTGGTTTTGATAGTAAAAATAACAGTGCCCCAAGTCTTGATGACTGGCCTTCACGGCTGGGTGGGCCTGAGGGGTGAGCGTGGTTAGGAGGGAGGGGTGGAAGACCTCAAGAGCCAAGTCTAGGAAGATGCCCCATACAACTCAGCTCTACCCAGATAAGCCTCGAAAAGCAGAACCCACATCAGCACCCTCAGAGGACTCACTTGCAGCAGGTCCTGCATGTAAACAGACTCGGGGGGCTAAGGAACTCTAAGAACAGAACTAGTGATTGGGAGTTGGGTCGGATCTGGGTGTGGGTGGGGGGAAGGAGGGCAGCCCACTGCATAGATATCCTCTGGGAGGCTCAGCTGCTCCGTCTCTCCACCTTTTCAGAGGCTTACTGCAGTGTTGTGACTTTTGGAAAGAATTAGACGTATCCAAGAAGCATCATTTTTATTGTCTTCAGAGGCTGGTTTATACGCCTCCAGAGAAACAGAACCAATAGGCTGTATCTCTGTATCTCTGTACGTATCCTCTATCATTCATCTGTCTCTCTAGATTTATTTTAAGAATTGGCTGATGGGATTGCGATGGTTGGCAAGGCTGATATCTGTGGGGCAGGCTGGCAGGCTGGAGACTCAGGGAAGAGTTGATATTGGGCAGAATTCCCTCTGTATATGTCTGTCTGTGTCCAAATTTTCTCATCTTGAAAGGACCCCAGTCACATTAGATTAGGGCTCAGCCTCATGACCGCAGGTTTTCTTAATCACCTCCGTAAAGACCCTATCTCCAAATATGGACACTCTGAGATACTAGGGGTAGGACTTCAACTCATGACTTTTGGGAGAACACGATTCACCCCAGGCATATTTTGTGTTTAAGAAATGGTGTACAAGCAAACCGACTCCTCATATCAGTTTTAGGATGAAGGGCCTACACCTGGACTGGACCTAACACTGTACGATCTTAGATACTTTAATAATTGATTATTAAAGTAAGGGTTATTGCCGAGTTTAGAATGAGGAAACTGAGACCAGCATAAAAAATTAAATGCCAATTTATTCAGCTCCCGGGCGAGGTTCCATGGTCCTGGGGGAAGGGGTCAGGGAAGTGGCACCAACTTCCCAGGCGTGGGGTTTTTATGGCTAGGAGGAAGGAGCAACAGCTGGGTGCTCTGATTGGCTCCAGGGGAGCGAGATTGAGACTGGGCGGGCCGCTATTGGTTGGAGGGTTTTTGGGCGGGTTTTCCTGTGGGAGAGCCGGCCAGGAGCCTTGCATCAGCTGGAGCCTTTCAGGGGAGCCCTGAGGCAGAGCTAGGTGCTGAGTGCAGAGCCTGGTGCCGGGTGCAGAGCCTGGTGCCGGGTGCAGAGGTGGGCGTGTCCAACCTTCCAGAGAGGCAACCGGCCTTACAGTAGTCAGCTGCTATCCTTATACCCAAGTTTGCAGATATGGAAACTGAAGCACCCTGAGATGAAGTCGCTGCCCAGTGGTATAAAATCAGGAGGTGGTAGCCCTGGGTGCTGGGCCTCCGCAGCTTACCTTCAGGCAGGCACTTCCTTTTTTATTGTATTTTTTTTTTGAGATGGAGTCTCACTCTGGTGGCTCAGGCTGGAGTGCAGTGGTGCGATCTTTGCTCACTGCAACCTCCGCCTCATGAGTTCAAGCGATTCCCCTGCTTCAGCCTCCCCAGTAGCTGGGATTACAGGTGCCGGCCACCACGCCCGGCTAATTTTTGTACTTTTAGTAGAGATGGGGTTTTGCTATGTTGTCCAGGCTGGTCTCAAACTCCTGACCTCAGAGTGATCCGCCCGCCTCAGTCTCTCAAGGTGCTGGGGTTACAGGTGTGAGCCACCACGCCTGGCTAAGGCACTTTCATCAGGAGACTATGCCTGGAATTGTTGAGCGCCCCTCCTAAAGTGAGGCTCCTCAATTTATGGTAGGAATCCTAGGGTCTTAGTTAAAATGCAGAGTCAGGCCAGGCACAGTGGCTCACGCCTGTAGTCCCAGCACTTTGGGAGGCCTAAGCGGGTAGATCACGAGGTCAGGAGTTCGAGACCAGCCTGACCAAAATGGTGAAACCCCGTCTCTGCAAAAATACAAAAATTAACCAGGTGTGGTGGCTGGCACCTGTAATTCCAGCTACTCAGGAGGCTGAGGCAGGAGAATCACCTGAACGCGGGAGGCGGAGGTTGCAGTGAGCTGAGATCACACCACTGCACTCCAGCCTGGGTGATGGAGTGGGACTCTGTCTCAAAAAAAAAAAAATTTATATATATGGAGTCCTGGGTACGGCACCAGACTTACTGAATCAAAATCTGCTATGAGTGGGAAGTGATGGGAGTTTTCTGTATCTTTAACAGAAACTCTCCAGGAACATTTACAACCACAAAAACTGGAGGATTACTAGAATTATCCTGTAAGGTTCTTCTAAATTAGCTTGGCTTGCAGTTCCTGATTCCAGTGTTTAATGGCCTTCCCTATCTTGTGGTGGTGGTGGTGGGGGGCTTTGTGTTTTGTGGTTTATTCATTTATTTAACCAATTTTCACCAAGTAATGTTGCTAGGTTCCAGGGGGTTTCAAGGATACATCAGATGTAAAGCTTCTCTTCAAAGACCATATGACATTAGACTGATATTATTAGGTTTTAAAATGTTCTTTCAAACGAGAAATATCTGTACCTTATTCAATGTTACAGGCTTTATTTTTATAAATGTGAACGCTTCTTTTATTTTCTATTCAGGAATGGCCCCATAAATCATGTATTTTAGTTAACTCTGTTAATTTTCTGGTAGAAAGGTGAATAACATGCGTTATTATCTATAAATAATCAGAACTATGTTTTTGAGAAAAGAATGGCAAAAAAATGTATGCCAGCTGCTGCTATTATTCAGGGCTTTGTATTGCTCTTGGGTTTTTATGAATGTATTGAAGTATGCAGGTGCATGAACGCTTATCATCCAGATAAAAATGTTAAACCTATCATTAAAACAGTTCTTTAAAAAACACATAATTCATTCTATGATAAGCCAAAATAATTTCACTAGTTCCTAATGTCCTTCCTCCAAAAATTTGGTGGGAGAAACGTGGTTGCTTTCTGCCCTTCCACACCGATTCCTTTCCACTGGAGGTAGTGTCAGGACACAAGCTGGTGGCTGAATGCCAGGTCTACGCAGGGGGAGGGGTGCAGGCTGGTCATCGCGGACCCCATTCCCAAGTGTCCAGGGACTTAGCTGCCCTGTGGTTCCAGAGTGTGTTCCAGAATCCAGCAGCTCCATGAAGACCCACTCTCCTGTTTTCCATTTCCCTCTTTCCCCAGCTCCCTGCTTTCCCTTGGCAGTCAAGATGAATGAATAGGCACCAGCCAAACATCAGCTCCTGTAGCAGAAGGGGGTGAGGCCTATGAATTGACTGCGCTCAATGCATACATTCCTTTCCTCTGCACAGAGTTTGAGGTGTTGATGAGAGTGGAGGTGGGAAAGTAGAAGCCAGCAGGTTTTCTTCTTTTCCTAAGATCAGAAACTTTTCAGAGAGCTGGGTGAGTCCTGCTCCAGAAAAAGAGTGGTCTTTATAAAGGATGTGGTACAGTTGTGGTCACAGGGCACGGAGCCAGTGAATGCTTTTTGGATTAAATCCGGGTTAAGTGGTAGGGTTTTGGTTCCTCCTCCTCCTCCTCCTCCTCTTCCTCCTCTTCCTCCTCCTCCTCTTCCTCCTCTTCCTCCTCCTCTTCCTCTTCCTCCTCCTCTTCCTCCTCCTCCTCTTCCTCCTCTTCCACCTCTTCCTCCTCCTCTTCCTCCTCCTCCTCTTCCTCCTCCTCCTCCTCTTCCACCTCTTCCTCCTCCTCCTCTTCCTCCTCCTCCTCTTCCTCTTCCTCCTCTTCCACCTCTTCCTCCTCCTCCTCTTCCTCCTCCTCCTCCTCTTCCTCCTCCTCCTCTTCCTCCTCCTCTTCCTCCTCCTCCTCCTCCTCCTCTTCCTCCTCCTCCTCCTTCTCTTCTTCCTCCTTGTCCTCCTCCTTCTTCTTTTGATTTCAACTTTATTTGAGAGCGGGTCTCTTAAAGTCATACATATCATCCAACTCATTCCAGTCACCTAGCTTTTATTGGTGGCAAAGGCCCTGAACACTCCCTCTGAGTGGAGAGTGAGACTCCTCCCACCACACCCCAAGGCAGGTACTGGACTTCCACTGCCTAGTTTTAAAGGCAAAATAAATGAATCGGGCATACAACAGCTAAGCAAAATAAAGGAAGAACAGAAGTATAAAATATTTTCTATTAAATCTATTTTATTTTTTCAGTCAATGGGCTGACAATAACTCAAAATGTGACATATTGGCTTCATATATGTTTGTCATATTTTCGAGATCTTGAATAAGCATCTTAATTCATTACCCAGAATGACTGAATTAGTCTTTTAAAAAAATCTTCATTAACAAGAGAGGTTACAAAAAAGGAAAAACCCAACAGTTTTGGAAAATTTTAATGCCTCTTTGTTTTTTTGAATGAAATGATGTAATACACTGATTGGAGGACGCATTTTTTTGGGAGCGGCCTGTAGGAATTCACTTTTCCATGAGAGAATGCCAGGATCACGCAGTGGCAGGACAGGCAGGTGTGTTAATACGCTGTGCACAGATGAAAGGGTTTGTGATCTTGTGTTTCTTATGAATCACACCTGTTTTTAATTTTTCCTGGAAACATTCCATGAGGCCCGTTTTTCTATTCTTGAAGGAAATGTTGATAAGAACATGGAAATAAATCTAGAGACCAGGCAACCCAGGGCCACAGGACCTGGAGGCAAGCAAGCTGGCCCAATTCCCAGCTGCTGGTGCCCGGCTCTGGCTCTAGGGGCTTCACTCTTTGCTGCCTTGCCCTCTCCTGTGGCCATTCAGCCTCACTCCCTGGACATCAGCTGCTTTCCAGAGTTCTTTCTTCCCCTCCCCCTCCCTCTCCCCTCCCCCTCCCCCTCTTCGTCGTCTTCTTCTTCTTTCTTCTTTTGCTCTGTCACCCAGGCTGGAGTGCTGTGGTGTGCTCTCTGCTCACTGCAACCTCTGCCTCCCGGGTTCAAATGATTCTCCTGATGAAGACAAGGTGGGCGTTGCCTTCATGACAGGGCTGTGAGAGCTGCCTGGGAAGATGCGGACAGTGTGGGTGGGCAGGACAGCCAGTCATCCCCCCGCCAGCCCAGTAGCTTCCAGAAGCAGGTGCCCAGGTGCTACGGGGTCCCGCACAGGGCCAGGGGCAGGGACTGCACCTCCCCCAGGCACTCGTCGTCGGCCTCCTGGGGCTTGACCATTATCACATGGGTGGGGCTCTTGGAGCCCGCGGCTGCACCCAGGCGCGTCTTAGAGTCGATATTGACATACGGCAAATTTCGGTCCTCACACATGGCTGGGAGATGGCAGTACACCTCAATGGGCAGCATGTCCCCTGTCAAAACCATGACCCCTTTTTCTCCTTTGTGGAGAAATTTCTGAACCTCTTTCACCCCGCGCCGACTCTGCTTCTGCTTCACAGCTTTCTTGATGCGTTTGTAGAGTTTCCGCGTGGGGCGGCGAGAAGCCAGAGGCTGCGCGATGGGGTTCTGGTTGACCAGCAACTGCTGCCCGGTGCGCTCCCCGGAGCACGCCTCCGCCTGAGACTCGGGCCCTCCGGATCTGCCTTTATTTTGGTCATCGCAGCGGCCAAGGAAACCTAGGAGGCGAGTCTCAGGCGATGTGAGAGCTGGTCTTCATGTGACTTTGAACAAGCCACTTGCTGACCTGTGTCTCAGTTTCCCCAAGTGAGAACAATCCTACTTTGCACTTAGCGTTGTCCTGGGGATAAAATCCATTTGTGTAACGTGCTGACAGCGGGGTCTGTTACCCAGCAAATGACGTCTACGTGCTTGTTAGTGTTATTACTACTAAGGCTACGGCGTGCAGAGACTCAGAGCTCACTACGCTCCACTTCTCTCTCACCCTTCCGTGGCCCTAAATGCATCCAAAGAACCCTGGAGCTATAGAATACAGCTTGCAGACCTCTGTTCTATAAAGCCAAGGAATGTGCTTGTAATCTGGATTCTTCTAGAACAGCCCAGAATTAATGATCAGTTTACCAATTTCAGGCTTAGCATTATAAACAAAAGTAAATTTGAACTAACTGATCACCTAGGGCTGCGCACAAACAGCATTGAGTCAGAGGCAGCCTGGCCACCAAGGGTTTTGTGGGGCAGCCATCAATAATGAAGCCAGTATTTGCTTAGCATCTACTATGGTTCAGGCAAAGTCCTGGTAAAACACTGGCAAAAAAGACCAGTCTCATAAATAGTAAATGTAGAGCTGGGTTTGAAGCCAATAGTCAGGCGTCAGAGTCACACTCTTTTTTCTTTCTTTCTTTTTTCTTTTGGAGACGGGGGTGGGGGATCTGTCTCCCAGACTGGAGTGCAGAGGTCCAATCAGGGCTCACTGCAGCCTCAGGCTCCTGAGCTTTACCAATCCTCCCTCCTTAGTGGTGAGTACAGGCGCATGCCACCATGCCCGGCTAAGTTTTTAAGTTTTTTACATTTTTAAGATTTTTGTAGAGAGAGAGGTCTTGCTATGTTCCCTGGGCTGGTCTCCACCTCCTGGGCTCAAGCAAACCTCCTGCATCAGCCTACGGAGGAGCTTAGATGGCGGGCTGGAGTCATGCTCTCAATAACCGCAGTCTAATGCCTCTCTCTCATCATGGTGATTTGGCTCCTGTATGTTTTGGGGTGACAGTTAAGCATCTGAGGAAAAGCTCTGCTACCATAAAAACGTAAAAAACGGTTTCTCTAGAACATGCCTGGATACCAAGGTCTTTTCAGGCAGCTTTCAGTGGACGTGTGTTTTTATTTTCCGAGTGCTGGAACTGAGGCATGAGTTTGCTTACAATATTCGTGCTGGGGTGTGTGGATGTACAGGGCACCACTCATATGGGGCAGGTTTGGGAGCTGGATGAAGAAGGGAGAGGAGGGAGCTGAGCCTCCAGGAGCACCCACGTGTTGGCCCTGGGCCCAGCCTTCACAGGGGGTAGCCCCTCAGTCCTCCCATCCAGCCCACCGTGCGTGTGCGCTCCCCATTTACACCACGGGAGGGAAGCTTGGGTGTGGGAGAGGCCCCTACCAACCGCGAACTGCAAGGGAGCCTGAGAAATGGTCCTGGAGGGCGGCCACCGAGCAGCTTCCTGCAGCTGCCTTGTGCTAATAATTTAATTGTCGTCAAAACCTCCTCCTCATCAGCTTGTCTTCTTCCAGAGAGCAGAAAGCATAGATTACCGTCACAGGCCGCTCGGCCGCTCTCTGAGGCAGGCTCACCTATATGTAGATATAAGGGCGTCAGTATGCACCGCTCCCCTCCCCCCAGCTTTGGGAACAACCTGCTCCGAGCCTGGCCGACCTGCTTTCCTCTGGCCTCTTTGCCTACCTGGCACGTGTGCTGCACGCAGTCTCCAGGCTGCGCTAACGTTTCCTAACCCGACTGCCTTTGCTGGGACTTCATTAGGAAACCGCCGCTTTGATGTTTTCTGGATGCATAAAGAGCAGCCCCTTCCCTAAGCCGAGTTCGGGGCTCACCTGAAAGTGAGAAGTAAAGAGGTTTTTTAAATTAATGGCATCAAATTGCAAGTATGCAGCAGTGATAAAGCGACAAGCCTTTTATAACACTGGAGAGCAGCATCAACTGTCTCTTTTCTTTTAATCCGAGGCTGCTTTTTAGAAATGTTTCTCGTGTGCAGGGAACAACCGGTTGCATGCTGAGCGACAGCCGGGGGGCTTATTGTTGTCAATAGGCAGGCCTGGCGGGGCGGCTCTGGGCCCCGGTTCCTCGGCGCTGGCGGCCTCTAGGGGGCGCGGCGGAGGCGGCGGGGCCGGGGAGCGCAGCGCACGGCCCTGCCATCTGGGTGTTCGAGGACGCGCCTGCGGAGGCGCGCCTGGCTCCGCGCTCCACTCCAATACCATCTTCTTCCCTTTTGCAGCTTCCCACTTCCCATCTGTGCCCACCCACGGGTTTCTCAAAGAAGTAAAAAAAAATAAATTGGCATGGTTCAAGGGAAAAGAATCAGGAATGTGTGGGCTCCCTCGTCCTGGGTTCACAGTGCTGGAGACACGTGGCCGCTGTGGCCCGGCCAGCTTCTCACGCCCATTCTGTAGCTCTGATCCCGCGTGACCTGCTGCGGCTGTGCATTTTGCCGCGCGGTGGAGATGGGGGTGCTAGTTGTACTTTATAAGTTGCCAGCAAAACGCTTTCTTTTTCTTTTCATCTTTGCCAGTGCTGCCTGCAGCCTCCAAAAGGCATCTTCAGAAGCTGATAATTAAAGCTATGGAATCCGAGCATGAGTAATCATTACCTATTTTGTTTGGGCACAGTTTTTTAGAGAAAATGTCGTCTCCTCCAATAATTATTAGGTTATCATCTTGTCATATTGACTCCCCTAGGAGCCACGATTTGAGGATAAATGTTAGGTCAACCTTTGCTGTTCATTCTCTGATTCAAATAAATCTAGTATTCCAGGGGAAAAACCCAAACAAAATAAACGGCAAACTCCAAATCCTAGGCAGCAGTTATTTCTGAATAGAAGACAACTATATGACTGTTGTAATGATATTTTAAAAAAATGAGTACTTAATAAAATGGCCATTTTAGCGAGTGATAAACACTTTGAAGCAGCCAGAAATTCAGTATCTCACAGCACATTTTGTGGAACGCTGTCTAGATTCTGCCATCTTGCTGGAATGTTCCGCCATTGCTCATAGTAATAGCTTCTTATTGACTGATGAGTATTTGTGTATAGATAGATTACAGCAAATTCAACTTCTCCAAAGACTCTAGCCCTCAACAATAGGTACCTGTAGATAAAATGCTTTGTGGATGTGCTTTGGAAGTCCAGAGATAACTGATGGACAAATAAGTAGGATTTGTATTTGGACGGATTAAGAGTCTCTATTATGGCTTTTTTTCTCAGTGAGGAGGGAGATGGGGAATTAGAAAGAATGAGCTGAGTCAAGAGGCTGTCCTCAGTAGGAAGGCCCTGTGGCTGTGTCTCCCAAGGCAGTGCCCCTGGGGTGGCCCCAGTGGAAATTCCTCAGCTTTCTTTGTCAGCTTTACCTGGGCCTCAACATCAGCTCTTAGGAGAGAAGACCGCATTACAGCCCAGGAAAGAGGTGCTGTGAATGGGGTTCCCTAATGAATGGATGAAAGGTTTTCAGTAACAAAAGGAATCAATAGTTGTGTTTCATTGGCTGAACCAAATCACACGCCCCAAAGGTCTGTGTTTTAATGTCGGTATCCTTGACATTACCCACTCTTTCTCCACACACACCCATTCTCATCTTGAGGAAGAAATTCTGCTTAGTTATTCTGGAATTTTCTTAAGCAACCATTGTTTTTGTTCTTGATTCATATATTATCAGGTAAGAGCCTCATCTTTCCAAATATGCCTCATCTTCACTTAGCAAGTGAAAAAACATAGTTCAAAATTATACATAAGAAGAATTTTCCCATCTGAAAATTTGAATTTTGCAAGTTTGTTTTGGGTAATCAGCAAGCATATTTTCCTTGGTTGGTTCAGTAACAACATTTCTGTCCCGTCATCTAGTTAGGGATGAATGGCATATTGTGGTTTCCAAAACTGAGACTACATATGCTGCACCCAAACTCGCTCAGTTTGGGAAGCTCACAAGTAGGCTTGCCTTTGATTTTTTTTCATTCCCCTGAGTTTCTCTTTTGGCCAAAGAGAAATCGCTTCTGTGCCATTCAAAATACTTGAACTTATCTGCAACCCAGAGTGGAGAAGTAGCTGGTGAAGCCCTTCTTGGAAATTCTTTAGCATGTGGGATGGGGTAGGGTGTAAAAGGAACGGAACGGCTGGAAAAAGTTCTGGTGTGTTTTTTTCTTTTTCTGGAAAAAAGATCAATGTTGATCCACAAAGAGAAACTCACAAGAAAAAAATCTTGATGGATTTTGTGATGTGCCTTGAGCTTCTCCAGTAAGCTTGCTGAGGTGTTCTTTGATTAGTCTTCTTTTGATTGCCAACCATCAGATCTTGCATAAGACCCAACTTGTGCCTTCTATATGCGGTATAATGTTACAGATATATAAGGTTGTTTGAAAGACAGAGGGGCAGAGAGAGAGAGCTTTTGGAGAAGGTACATAAAGAAAAACTAATGTAGTGTTAGGAATGTCTTAGAGGCAGTCAAGAAGTTTGAGCAAAAATATATTGATCTAGATTACTCTAGAAAGACTAAAATCAATAGGCATAGCTTAAAATAAAACAGCCAAATAAGAACAGGCAGGACAGCTAGCTGGCTGCCATGGGCCAGGTCCTTGACTCTGGAGAAATCTCAAGAAACAGAAGTTGCAGGGTCTCTGTCTTCCTGCAGCTTCCAGTCCAGCAGAGGAGTTTATCATATGCAGTTCAAGTAATTGATACGTTAAAAAAAACGCAACTAAACAGCGCCAAAATACAACTAAATTTTGTTCTTTTGTTCTGGTAAACTTTACTCATTGGGCCCAACATCCATGACCTCTGGATGAAAACTCTGGCCAGGCCCATGGCTCTTCTGCCACTCTCAATCCAGAAAGTCTTCTGGTCAACTGGAATCACAGAAGCAGTTTCATTTCAGCACTCAACAGTGTCTGGTCCCATGTAATAATCAGAAACTGATCTTGGCCTAGCTACCTCCGCCCCTGCATGTCCTGTCTGTGCCTGCAGTGAGGGGGGAGGTTGAGGAGGAGGAGGCTCAGCTCTCTCCCTGCCCCTGCTCCTATGCCATCTCAGCGCAACTGCTATGGTCGTAGGGCGCATGTTGGGTGCATGCAGGAAGGAGAGGTAGGAAATTCAGCCTCTTCTAACCTGGCTGGCTGGTGTCCTATTTTCTGATCTGGCAGATGGTTTGGGTCAGCTCTCTATGATGGACTCTCCAGAGCGCTGAGGCTTTGGAAGCCCCCGGCAGCTCCCTTATTCTTGCAGCTCCCTCATTCCTGGTGGGTGTATCTCCCTTCTTTCAGGTCGTCAGTGGATGATAGGATACCTTCCTCAGCCCTGGCTGTCTAGTGGATGACCCCCAGCCCCTTCTTGCCTGGGTCTCCTCCCACCTCCAAGGATCCCTGGTTGCACAAGCTGGACAGGATTTCTCTTGCGGGCCGAGGACACACAACTTTTCCTGGGAACTCTCATTCTCCTCCTTCCTCCACCCCACCCTCACTCAGCAGGTGCAGTCTGTGCTGCCTGCATCGGTCCATGGCCTCTGGCTCTGCCCCCAAAGCTGTTTGCCACCTCCTCTGCTGTCTTAGGCAGATTCTGGGACAGACCCTGCCACATGGTCTGCTTGGGTTTGTGTGGCCGGCTCCTGTCTCCCAGCTGCAGGAAAAAGCCTTGAAGCCCCTATTCCGTGGGCCTTGGGAACGTGGGACAGGAGGTCAAGGAGGTCCCTTTAGAAACTCCTCTTTCTAATCTGAGCTTTTTCCATTTCCATGATCTGGCTGAGGGATCCGGAGTCGTTAAAGAAGTCCCTGTGCTGTTTCCTCCGCACTCTGTGGCACGTGGGGAGGGTAACTTTCCTACCAAGATCTGACTGTTGCAGCCTCAGCTGGACGGAGAGAGAGTCTGTCCTAAAATCCAGTTACTCCTCAAACCCAGTGAGCCAGGTACAATCACTATCACCATAACACAAAGAGAAACTGAATTCCAGGTGGTTTAAACAACCTACCCACACGCCGTAACCCAGTGATGAGGTCGGGCCTCGAACCCAGGCCCACCGAGCAGATTCTGTATTTGTCACTGCAGGGACATCTTGCACGTCCAGGATGAAGGCGCCTGGAGGGGAGAGGGCTGCCTCCCGCCAGATATTTGGGGCAAACAAGCAAAGAAACTCGGGATGAGAAAGTGCAAGATCCCCCGCCCCTCCTCCTTTCTTGACTCCCATCGGCCTGTGTGGTCCGCGCGGCGTGGACAACAGACCCTTGTGGGTCAACGCAGAGGCCGTGCCACTCGGCGCCGGCCCCACGGCCATCACCGGACCGCTGGAGATGTGACTGGGCTCGGGACATGAGCCCGCTTGTTCGCTCACTCTCAGTGAAAAGAGTTTTGAAATGAGTTCTGAATAGACAGCATTTCCTTTGTGCGGTTGGTAAATAACACAGAGCAAAGTTAGCAAGTTGCAGCGCCTCTGCGTTCTGATTCTATGGAACCTTTTTGTAGGGAGAAGGGCAGGATGTTTTTAACTGAATGTGACCTCACGGGAATACTAGAGGTAAGGAGAAAAAAATGATTGAGGTAACTGTGGCTGTTTGACATCTCAGAAACCATGGCTTTTAATAAAGCCACATGAAGAGAGATTCCTGGCATCATCCCACACAAAAACCAGTGCCTGGTAGCTTTGTGGAAGGTGATACTCACATTGGTTTGGCATTTGTGTAGCTTTGATTGAAAATCAATGGTTTTCTTATGATAATGTTCATGTCACATTTTTTTTCCTTCTTTAGAAAATAATAAAATTTCTGAATGGGGCAGCGTGGAGAAATCCTAAGAGAAATAGCATAAGAGCATTTTGGAACACATCCAGGAAAAGATAACTTTCGACACACCTGTAGACATTCACCAGGTAAAGGTAAGAAAAAAATATTGGAAAAAGTACATTTAGGTTATTTTATTGCATCACACTGGGTTGAACTTTGAGAGAAAACACATACCACTGGGGCGGGACGGGCAGAGGGAGGATGGAAGGCTCACCTTTTGCC